ATTTTGACCAAAACAAAATTCCATTCTATATCATTTCGGTTAATCTAAAACATACGAAACAGAATTGATAACACTAATTCCTACTCAAAGGAATTACCTGCACTTTTTTTCCTTTTTGCCTTTTAACGATAATTTAGCCGAAGGGCTAGAGCATGCTCGGTTTACATGTTCTCTTCAAAAAGAAGATAAAGCTCTAGAAAATGTACCATTGAAGCATTTTTGGAAAAGGAACCAGGCTCGGTGTAGAGAGTTTGACTCTTTTATTTGCATTATTTAACACAATGTCAAGTGGTGCAGACTTAAATATCCAACTGTTGGATATAATAATTTAATTGTTGGCAAATTTTATAAAAATAAAATATTATTTCAAAATTTTTATTTAGAAAAGGGTTAAAGCCAACCATCGTCCCTCTACTTTTAATTTTTATTCATGTCCATCCCTCTACTAAGGATTTGTTCATTGTCATCCCTCTACTTCACCAAACCACCAAGTGTCATCCTTGTACTCCAATTATTTTGTTCGTTGTCATCCTTTTCCTGACGGAGTTGCCTTAGTCATCTATTTGAACTGTTTAATCCACAAACGGTCAAATGTTAAAGCATTTCTTGGATTTTTTTTCTTTTTCATATGTGCTGCCAACTAAGAAGCACCCTTTCGTCAATGGCCTGCTCCACTTCTTTTTTCAAATTCAATCATTTATATTCTTAATTTATAATCTTATCTCTTATATTTATTTGTTTTTACAGTAATTTACATTTAGCCTAACTATTATGAACTAACAATTTTTAGTTAGAGAGGTGAACTATATTTAATACTACTATAAAATGTATTAGTAAGTATACATGCTGAGTTGATAAATTGTGATGCTTTAAATTTTATATTGATTAAAAATGTAAATGTAAAGATTTATAATTTCTGATAACTTAATGTTAAATTTTAAGCGTTCATAAAGTTAGCTTAAAAAGTTGTTAAAATTATTTTAATGAGTTTCTTGAATAGGTTTTAAAGCATGTATTAAGGTACATTTACTGTATTTTTTCACAATTTATATAAAAAAATTATGAAAGTAAATTTTATTTTTAATATCAATCCCACATGAAATATTTTAATTAGATAGTTAATAAAACTATAGTCAATTTTCATTTTTTCATACAAATTAATGATGAAAAGATGCACATGTTAAAAAGTTCTTTTTTAATAGAAGACCTTTCTAATATGATCTATTAAATATATTTTTTTATTATAAATTTGTATTAAAAAATAAAAATTGACTTTTAACTTATCAATTATTCAATTAAATCTATCCACTTGATATCAATATTAAAATTAATATCAATTTTTAGATTTTTCTATATGTATTTATGACAAAAAGGTTAGTTAAAAA